GAACAGTGTTTCATTTCAAGTTTTGTTTCATTTTGAAAGAACTGTTCCGTTTCATTTCATTGAAACTGTTTCACTGTTTCAACTCTGTCTTGATGTTTCATCCATGGACTATAATGGGGAAGCATGAAACTGCCTTTAACTTTGTCATTTGTAGCCTGATTTGGATGAAACTTGCAGGGATTGTAGCCCCTTCTGTGGGCACAAAGCCTGCCAGGTTTCAAGGAGATAGGTATAGAGGTTTATGGGAAACTGCACCTCAAGGTGCTGACAAGCAAAACTGTCACTTGCTGGCAGCAGCAGACCCCTGTCATCTGGCGGGTAGATCCATAGGCTTGTACAACCCGGGAGGGCTGCAGGCCTGTGCTGGACTCCTCCCAGGGGTGCAACCCCCGATCTGCCTGCTGGGATGACAGGACGTTGCTGCTGCTGCTTGGGACCGGTGCTAGGTGCAGCCTGCACCTAGGACTGGGAAGATTGGTGCTGCCACCAGTTCCATGCAGCAGGAGCAGCCTCCTATGATCTGGCAGGCAGATCAGGGGCCCGCACCCCCAGGAGGAGTCCAGCACAGCCCCTGCAGCCCTCCTGGGGGTGCAGGCAGGCCCCCGATCTGCCTGCTATATGACAGGAGGCTGCTGCTGCCAGCTGGGGCCAGCAGCAGCACCAGTCTTTCCGGCACTGGGTGCGGGCTGTGCCCAGCGCCAGTCCCAGCATGCTCTTGCTGTTGACTGGGGCCAGCGATTGTAACAATCTTCCCAGTGCTGGGTGCAGCCTCCTGTGATCCAACAGGCAGATTGGGGACCCACACCCACAGGAGGGCTGTGGGGCTCTGAAAGACTCCTCCCAGAGGTGTGGGGGGGGGCCCCAGTCTGCCTGCCGGATCACAGGAGGCTGCACCCAGCACCGGGAAGATTGTTACAATTGCTGGCCCCAGTCAGCAGCAAGAGCATGCTGTCATCTGGCGTGCAGATCCAGGGACCTGCACCCCCCCGGGAGGGCTTGGGGCTGTGCCAGAATCCTCCTGGGGGGCATAGCCCCTGGATCTGTGCTGGATGACAGGAGGCTGCTGCTGCCAGCTGGGACTGGCACTGAAGCCTATCCTGGCTTCAAAACTCAAAATGTTTCAAAACTTTCGAAATGTTTTGAGTACCCTTGTTTCATTTCAAAGCTCTTTTGAAGGCTTTTGTTTTATTTTGATTTCACTGTTTTGAGCTTGAAACTTATCGAAACAGCTTTGAAACAAAACACCCAGTGAAATCTCTCACAGCCCTACTGGAAACATATTCTATATGCATATTGTAGTAGTTACAGGCAGATAGGCATATAATATTCGCCCAAACTTTCTGAAATAATTTGACTAAATTGATAAGTTTTGCCATATTAAGAGGCCTGTGTTCTGTTCCAGTTATGTAAGGGGTGACTTTATGCACTGTTATCTTATTTGTAAGGTTGGTAAACGTGAGACACTAAGATCATGAACAGGCATTTGTTTCTGGTGGCAGAAACATCTGAGAAATTGGTCTAGGAGGGGCCTGGAGCAGTGAGCCTACCCATTCCCCTGCCCAGGCATACTGTGGCCTGGGAAAGTATGGGAACTCATTGCTCTATTCACTTACCTCTTGGATTAGACAAGGGGAAAGGGAGTTTCTCCTGAAAGGGAGATCTTCCAGAAGAGGCACATTTCTCCTGGGAGAAATTAAATGGCTGCTTGGATGCTCCTAGTTTCTACTAAGAATGCAGCGATTGTCTTGGTAGAAATATGATGCCTGTACATGGCCTAAGCTTTGCTCAGTAAGATGGATTATTAGAAGGAGCACAGATAAATCTCGGTGTACTTCCATTGGGTAAGCAAAAGGCACTTCATTGACACAACTGCTATCTTCCAGGTAAATGTCAAGATCCTGTCCAAAGCATTGGGATGCTAACATCCTTCCTCAAAAAGCTGAAAACATTTTTAAGATTAGTAGAACAGGGCTTTTTTTAATGTTGTTCTTGAATATGCCTGCATCATTTACATAAATATGTTCAGCATAAGTCAAGTGCGTAGAAATGTCACCTGAATAGTTAGGCAGATTTTTTAAATTTGGGGTTTAAAATAGGAATTTAAAATGGTGAGGGGTGGAGGAGAACTATTGGACAGTTTCAAATATAAAGTAATGAGCAAACATATATTTTAGCCAGTCTAAGAAGGGAGGGGAAACTGCTGGTCAGGAGTGCGCTATAAGTGTTACAATCTAATTGTATCTGCATGATTCCATAGTGATTCAAATGTGACACACTAGTTCAGTCACTCAAACTTTGACCCAAAATGAAGCAGTGTGTGGAGTGGCTTAGCTATGGTTGTATTGCTACAGAATTAAACAGATGTAACCCTCACATCATAGCAGCTTGTATTGATATCCTTTGATAGGGCATAGACCATGGATGGGCAAAATTTGGCCTGTGGTCTGGATCCAGTCTGATAACTTATTGGATCTGGCATTTATGAAATTCTCCACAAACGTTATTTGTAAGTGTAGTAATTTTCTAGAGAGCTGTTTTTAATTTGTTATATAAAACCTTGAAACTTTACTAGGGATATGGTGGGCTTTGGTAACCAAGGGATTTCCTAATGAAACATTGGGTCTTTTACCTTTGAGCCCATGATGGACAGAGGGCAGGGTGTGTTATCTGTGAATTGCTATTCGGTAGTTGTCCGTGAGCAGAGGTAGTTCACTGTGTTAGTCTGAAGTCAGTCAGAAGGCAGGGTAGATATGCATCTTTATAGACACACACACATATCCCCCTCCCCACCTCTGATTGCCAACAATTTATGACAGACCTTAAAGTTTATTTCCTCTGTAGCTGTCTTCTCATTCCCCTGATACACCGCAGATACATCAATGGTGTCTTCATAATATGGACACATGGGAAGAAATCTCTAGAGACATTTCACTAAGATTTTAATAACTTCCACATCTCCATCAAGCTAACTCTGGAATATTCCACACAGCAGATTGATTTCCTAGACACTACAGTGAAGGTTTGCAGTGGCTACATTGCCAGCACATTGCATCAGAAACCTACCAACTGCCACAATTGTCTACAGCCCAGCTCTGCATTATAGCAGGATCTGCTCTGACCCCACCACCTGGGGCGAGCACCTTAAGAATTTAGATCAGGGATTCTTACAGTTCCAAAACAATCCCCAAACTGTAGACACTCAGATCAACAACGCTAGACTTGAACCTTGCTCCAGCCTGCTGCAATACTAAACTCAGGACAAAGACAGCAGAATCCTTCTGGTTGTCACATACAGCCCCTACCTTGAACACCTAAGACGCATCATTAATGACCTCCAACCCTTTCTGGAAAAGGATGACTTTCTCAAAGGAACCTTTGGGGACAGACCTGTCCTGGCTTACAGACCGCCCACCTCAAACAGGGTCTCTCAATCAATAGACTAACGGACTCCCATCTTCACCAAGGCACTAGGCCTTGCAGTTTACCCAAATGCCTGCCGTGTCCCTACATCAGTGCATACCACATTGTCACTGGACCTAATAACAGAGTACAACATCCAAGGTTCATTCACCTGTAACTGTACCAATGTCATACAGGTCATCCAGTGTCCTTCTGCTCTCTGCATTAGACAGACATGATTATCTCTACATATAAGAATGAATCTGACATCAGCAGCAAAAAGACACAAAAACCTACGGCAGAATGCTTCAACCTGACCTGAGGCTGGCTGTTCTCAGGCAAAAAGATTTAAAAACCAGTTTGAACAGGAAACTGTGGAATGAGAAATCACTTCCACAGACCGGACTGTGTTAAGCATGGTTTTAAAGGGGACTGTGGATTGTTATCTCATTACCTGGATTAGTTTTTGTGACCCTCTTTGTTCCTATTGGTTTACTACTTGCTTGCCTTTCTCTCCTAGCACTGCCCTCCTGTCCCTTCTCTCTTTCCCCTCCCTTGCATTTTGTATTCTAATTTCTCTGCCCTTCTTATACTCTACCTTCTGCATGTCCTTTCACAGCATCTGATGAAATGAACTTGGGTTCATGAAATCTTGTGTTCTCTCTATATATATCTTATTTGGTTAGTCTGTAAAGGTGCACCTTGCTTTCTAGCGGTCTTCATTTCTATTTTCTATTTTATAGATCCATATCACAATCACCTCCAGCCCCTTAGCTTTAGTTATTAGCTGTCATTGTCATGGTTTTTAGCAGAGAGGACTGAATTTAAAAAATTGCTTTCTTGCCCCTTGACGGGGTGAGTTAAAGAGACGATGGCACTGAAATGGAATGAGCCAGCTTGCAATGCTATTGCTTGTATGTTGTACCTAATATGTACATTTAGCAACTTTTGGGAGGCTTAAAAGTTCAGGAAAAAATAATTAGTTATTGTGACAGAAGAACAAAGAAAAAAGAGTGTTGTTCTGCGATACAGAAAAATAATCTGTCAGAAGCTTCCTTGTACTGTTAATGTTAATTTTGAGTTATATATTTTGAAATCATACATAATTACAGTTATAAAATTTTAGGTCAGTCTCTCACATCCCCGCACCCCTCAGAAAAATGAGATTGGGAGAAAAACTTTGTTTGAATTTAAATTCTAATCCCAGAGCAGTTTTGACTGTAGCCTGGGTCTAGTTTAGTCATTTGGGAATGCTTTTTCTCAGGCTCTCTTAATCTATCATTGATTTTATTTGTGTTTTTAATATGGTTTTGTGGTGTTTTCTTGATCTCTTTTTATGACTGAGATTAGATATTTGCATATTTTTAAATGAGCTATTTTTTAAAATTAATTATTGCATTGGCTGCTCCCCTACCACTGGCCAGTTCTTCCTATTATCTGTCAGAAGTAGAAAGTTGTATCTTAAAAGCAAAAATATGTGGTGGACAGGCAAATTAATACAACATTTTCAGATAATCCTTAAACACTCATCAAGGTCAAATTCAGGCATGCTTCTGAAACCCCTTTCTGTTTTTTAACCATGTTACATTTTATCCCTTTAGGAATGGCAAAATTCTATTCAGAAGAATGCAGGACTTGCATTTATTGAGCTCATCAATGAAGGAAGGTAATTAATTTTACAGCTTTTGGACAAGTAGTCATTTTGCATTTTATTCCACTGGGTGATAATACTTTCTCACCATCTGCTCCAGAAAGATTTGAAAAAAGGCCTTTTTAATTAAAAGAGATTTACTGAGTATGTACTCTACATAAAGAATATTTAATATAGTGATATATAACATGTTAGATTTGTATTTATTGACTAAAGAAACCTTGAGCTCTGTGTAGAGATTTAAGGTTTTATTTGAGATTTGAACCCCACCATCATACTGAGTAGCGAGGCTGTTTTACACAGAGGATCTAGAAAGCCAAATCTGTAAACCCATCTGCCACTCCATCTGTCTTAAGAGCACCGTATTTGTTGTACAGATGCACTTTATACACTAGTTCATGAGATATTTTATCTAGGGTACTTGATGCTAAGGTAAAATACATGGAACATCACATTTATTTGAGCTACCTAGTTTTGCAAGCAGTTAAGTTACCTTTTTATTAACACTAGAATAATTTTAATATTGTTTCTGTTGGTGTCTGTTTTTATCTTTTAGTCTACACCATAGTTTTTCAGTATTCTATATCATTGGGCTAACTGACAGTGGATTCTCATAAGGCAGATGTAAGCATCAGCTCTGACATGTAGCTTCTCCTGGCCAGGAAGTAGAATCATTTTAAATCTAGACATCTTATCTTGTGTGATATGAGATGTGGTGCTGAATGCAAATCTTCATAATAAGATCCCTGTTGAAGTGTTTTGGCCAGTTTATTTTATACTCTCATTTTTTATTTCATTTTATGTATCTATTAACACACTGAAACATCCCACATATATTCAAATAATATTTTTATTGAAGGAGGAGATTTTTATCCAATTATAATTTCACTAGTCCATCCTTGCATCTTTTTCAACAGATGACTAGGGAACAACCATGAAATAAGAAGAGAGAATAGGAAACAGGGCTGTTTATTATTCTAAGAATAAGAATTCTTATTCTAAGAATAGGAAACAGGACTGGGAGGTTGTGGAATCTCTGTCCTTGGAGGTTTTTAAGACCCAGCTAGGCAGAGCTTTGGCTGGGATGAAATAGGTGGGGATGGTCCTGCTTTGACCAGAGGGTTGGACTAGATGACCTCCTGAGGTCCCTTCCAACCCTAACTTTCTATGATTCTGTGACTGTCTGGAAAATAAGTGTATGCCTCTGGGGCCAGATTTTCAGTTGATATAGATTGGCTTAGTTACTTCAGAGCAGTAGAGTTTATAATAATATCTACCACTTGAGAAACTTAGGCCATTCAAATGATATTTCTTTTGATCTGGGACTATTTGCTTGTACGGCATCTACCAAAATGGATGCTAATCCTGATGGGGTCATGTACTGTATAATACCACACTATAAATATAATGATGATGATGATGATGTTGATTGCCCCTGAATTAATAATAAATCTGGGCTCAAAAATACTGTCCAAGTATCTTGCCTTTTTTTTCTCATGGCTTTTAAAACTTACCCTTTTAGCTGAAGAACTGGTTTCATTATTTTTGTTTACTAGAGTAATCTCTTGTAAAAATAGATCTGATTATTACACACTTGTTGCTGATAAAGTAACAGTGGTGAACATATCTCAAGTCTGCTTTTAAAAAAAATCATAATTAATTACTGAGACACATCAGGAAGCTCTATATTCCCAACCAGCAGTCAAATTCCAGAAACAAAAATGAAATGATATAGTATTCAAGAACTTTCTGCTTCGGTCTAGTGAAGTGATTACCAAATCAAACTATCTGTAGGTACATATTGCTTAACATATTTTTGTGAAAGGGATGTGTGTGCATTGCATTACTAAAACACTTGCTGTCTTCCACTGTTAGTACATCAGTTTTTAATTTATCCTTATGGGGATAAAAATAACAGTCCATTAAGTGGAAATTGTTATAAATATTTATTCAACTTAATAGCTAAACTTGTGAATGCGATTCATCAATCATAGCTAGAGAATGCAATTGTGCAGTTGTCAACAATTAACAAGACATAAACAGTTGATGAATGTGCAGCTGAATTAAAGTGCTCCCTAGGACAGCCTGAAATTATAAACTGGATCATTTAAAGGAATCTAACAAAGGATCTTTATAATTAAAACAAAGCAGGGTTAATGGGATGTAAAATTGCATATAATCACTATGCAATAATGATTGGATTTTAAATTATTAAAGTACAAAATAGAAGGTTAAGGATAGTTTTCAAGACTTTGTGGATTAGATTTTCAGTGATTCAGTTAATAAATCAATAGTTTCATTCATGTATACCCTATTTGGCTTTGCCTTTAAAAATTCAAGGGAGGAGAGTTACAATTTTTATCTAAGTTTTACACCTTTGTATGTTCAAAATGTTGATATTTAAAAACCTCCTACCTGAGTGTCTGACTCTTTGTTTTATCTGAATTAAAACATTTGAACGTGATTATGATTTTTGATTGTATCACTAGGGGTGGGGGGTGTGTGTGTGTATGTACGTGTATTCACTAGAAATATAATGAAACAAAACATTTAATTATGCTAATTGTTTTCACTTTGTGATTTGAAGCCTTAATACACAGCTTCCTGTCACTTGATGAATAGTAACCTGCTCTTAAATAATCTGTTTTATTACATTTTGGTATGTTTTTATTTAATAATGGTAGCGTTATACTATAGGGGCTATAGAGACCACTTTAATTTATGGTGTCATGACTTGCATAATAATCTGGCAAGTGCCTTCCTAGTTTAGGAGTATGAGATAAGGACCCAAGAACCCCTAAATTTAATCCTTAATTTTTTGCTTATTCCCTCTGAGTTTTGACAGATTATATTACCTCTATGTCAGTTATATCTCAAAAGGTTCCTATGAATTTGAGTTAATGTTTAAAGAAGAAAAAAATGTTTTATGATTGCTAAGTATTGTCAATAGGCATTCTGTGACATTTTTCAATATAGTAGCTTCCAGCTATAACTTTAAATTTTATATGTGCAAAGAAAATTCTACAGGAAAAAATAAAATTAAATATCAAGTTGTAAAATAGTATTGTCTCTGCAAATTATTCTAATATATTCTACTTCTTGTACCTCTGAACATTGGCTTTCTGCCTCTTTTAATTGGTCTCCCCTAGGGAATGTGTGGTATTGATGGTATGAGCCTCATGTGAGTCCCATCCATAGCTATTAAGATGCTCCTTAAAAGTTAGAATTTCAGATTTGCATTCATTTGTCAAAATATACATGTTAAACTATATGGAAAGTCATTGGCTTTAAGCCAACCTATGGATACCTAAGAGTGAAAGTAGTGAAATTACTGAATAAGGATATAAATGCATACCTGTGAAAATTATTTGACACAAAAAGTTTTGTAAATAATCTTTCAGGGCATTATGAAAATGACCATTCAAACTAAAGCAATTATATCTGCTATTCATCTTCAAGTATGTGCCAGTGTGTGTCCCACACTAGGTGCACTTAAGTCACATGCCTATAACACCAGAGTATTTTTTTTTGTAGTGTCCATTGGGGCCATGCATATACCCGGTGCCATTTCGTGTTTCCATATGAGGGCATCAAGAGAAGGATGGCAGTATCCATTGTCAGTTCATCTTGCTATGCTTGTCAGCAAGGTAGAATCTAATAAGCATCTGGCCCACTGGTTCTTTGCTCAGTTTGAACTTCCCTAGTATCTTTCAGAATCTCCAGAATTACTTCTGATCTCCTACATTTGACTGCCCTGAGCTGATCTGACTCATCTGGACTGAATTGTAGACACACCACTCCTTAGGATTCCTTACGATAACATAATTGAAATCTATGGACATTAAGCCAATCCTTATCATGCAATGGACTTAGTCCCCCACCCCTCCCTCCCCAAAGGATGAGTACCAGATATTTCCTCTCTAGGGCTATGGCATATTCCAAGTAGATACTTTGTTTTCTCTCTGTGTTAGAACATGTTCATCTTGAGAGATGAGACTACACTTCATTTTCTGGATCAATAAAACAAATGAGGAAATAAACCTCAGAGTCCTGATAGTGGACAAGTCAGTTTCATTTACACCTGTCAAGCAAATAGATGATGAGTAGGATGAGCACAGGAAGAGGAAGGATCCAACTTCTATGCCCCCAACAGTGAAGCCAATCTCAGTATCAGTGTTGATGCCAGCTCCGACACATCCAATGCTGAAGCCAGGCAGCCACCAAGAGGGGGATCCTTTAGTATGAAGGAGGAATTCTACAGAGATCCATGTCCCATCACAAGGTTATATGCTGCTATACCTTGGAAGGGAAGTCCATCAAGTCCTGTACATTAAAGATAAGGATAAGAAGGAGTCTGAAATTTAACAGATTCCTCTGGCTTTGGTTGTAGCTGTGTTGGTCTAAGGACACAGGCAAGCAAGATTCTTCTAGCACCAGATTCCTCTGTCACCAGTTCCAGCTTCACTGAAAACATTTGCCATCAGTCCTGGCCACAGAAGAGGTTAGAATCAGGTTGACCATTGTTGCCAAGATATTGGCTTGTACCTAATACAAATGCTAGTGCTAAAAAGCCCCTTGCACGTTGCTGGTATCTTAGAGTGATTTTTTCCCCTTCATTGTAACTGGTATCTTATACCCATCACTGAGTACACATGCCTCCCCTGAGGTATATGATTAGTCCTACTAGAAGGTGTATGGGCGTCTCTAATAAGTCTGAGCCATGACTGGCCCATCAGGCCTGGCACTGGACTAATTTATATTAGTGGCAGCAGTGTCCCCCCTCCTCCCCCACAAGTACAACTCTGATTTCTTTCCTCTGCCTGATTTGCCATCTGCTTCTTTCTGTGTGCTTCTTGTGCTATATGCTGCTCTCTTCTGTTTCCTGTCCTGTGCTTGCTGGCCAATCTGTTTCCTGCCCCTTCCCTAGTCTGCTGTGAGCCATACACAGAGGTTGCCCTTGCCACAGGTTGGCCACCACTGCGTAAGATTCCTGCCTGCAGCCCAAGTAACCAGAT